TATAAAAATACAGATATAGTTTCTTGGAGTTGGTCACAGTCTATATTTTGGCTTGGATTCAGGCAGCAGAGGTTGACTATGACAGCTGGCAGGAAACTGAGGGCAGAATACATCCTCCCCCTTCAGTCACCACATCTCAGTTGCCATAGCGATTAATCCGTAATTGAATGCTGTCTTTGTACATTTCTTTTCAGAAAACTTTAAGTAAACTTAAGTTGAAAACATGCAGTTGATTGAAAAAAGGAGGCACCACATCACAAACAGGTATAGTTGAGTTTTGTGACATACTTCCGTATGTCAAAAGAACAAATTAACTCTAATCAAAGTATTAGCAGTTCCTTCAAATACTTAAAACATTTCTTTTTGGTCTGAGCTTAAAGCTAAGAGCACAGGGTTTCCCTCCAGTCATCGTATCTTTTAAAATGAGCAGTTCTCAAAAACCCAAGTATGATTTAAGGCAAAATGTATTTTTATTTTGCATTGTCCACACTATCAAATAACAAAGGTATGATTAGAAATTTATTTTAGGAGAAATAGGTTTTAGTTTAGGACATCTATAAAATATTCTACAAGTTGAAATCAATTCATAAAAGTATAAGTTATAGAAAACATGGAAAAGATAATGTATCTCTGGCCTTTCCTAACTAAGTAGGTGAATTTGAAAAGTAGGTTCATAGTTTTTATCATTTTGATTATCAATAATTACATGGAAAAGAATGAGAGCTCTGGAAGACCACAGGGTTTACCTAGCACTGTGGTGGCAGTGTCTTCTTTCGGTAGGTTTCCACCTGGTATACATATTCCTCTGCAACTTAGTGAAAGGCTCAGACTTGACTACAGCATTGCTCAGAAAGCACAACACCAGCATATGATGGTCACTGTTGTTCATCTGTTGGCCTCATCTAAATATATAGGATTTGATTTGTTTTCTCAGAAAGTGAGGCAGCACCTCTGAATCTGGCTATAGACACAAACATGCACCCGCACATGCCTACAAGCACACACATGATCTTTTCAAACACAAGCTCTTTAATAAAACTTTGATGACAGACATGAAGTACTCAGAAGAATTCTCAGTAATCAAAAAGATTCTGGATTTGAGCCCTAGATGAAAGATATTACACTGTAGGTGGAAGGTCTACGGTCTTTTGGAGACTTGAGAAGCAAAGGTTTGTAGGTGTGTGCTAACATATGACTGGATCTCTTTTGTTCTTGCTTCATTTCCTTTCTCCTTTCTTTATAGCATCTCCCTCCCCATAACTATTTTTAAAATTTTTCAAAATTTTAGATTCAATTATTACCACCCATCTGCAAAGTCCTTCAGTGAGTGACATAAATATCTCCAACCCTAGTCAGTGATTCCTCCCCTGTGAGTGTTGAAGTAATATTGCCTGGATATGATGAAATCAGTGACTGGGAACGCCTTTTTTCTCAGAAATTCTGTGAGATGACTGAAATGCTGGAATGGAATTTTACTGTTTCAAGTGCTGACTTAAAGAAGTCAACCACCGAATGAGTGTTTATGTGGACTATTCTTGGCCTGCGAGCAATGGATTAAACCTCCTACTTAGTGGCTTTAAAACTTCACTGAATGTTTCACATTTACCATGACTTCAACGTTAAACAACACATTTCTTTAAATTCCCGGAAAAAGATCTACTAAGTTGGGGTATGTGTGATGAGGGGATACCTGGACTCGGAAGGGAGGCTACAAAGCCCCCTGGGTAGATATTCAATTTGCTTGTCACAAATGTTCCTCACTCTGCAAAACACTTTTAAGGGCCAAGATTTCTGCTGATATTGTTCGTCCCCCTCAAAAATGTTGAGATTGAAAAGTGTTAGAGGCAACGTGTATTTCTGTTTTTACAATTTCCTTAAGGAGGTTCCAAAGGGACTGTTTATTGTTTCTAGATCTAGGGTCTGCATTTTGGGGAGAATTATATGCCTATAAATTTCTTCTCTGAGAAATATTTAGATAAGCTAATGACCAACGCCTAGAAAATTATTTCATTAACATTTACTCTACAGGGATTGCCAAATTATCTGACTTTTTACATTACAATTTGTTTGGGAAAAGGGCATGGTTGAAACAAACAAACAAACACCCTAATCAAAAGTAAACTCTGAAGATTCTGATATACTCTACATCTTAAAAAAGCAAATTTCTGGAGAGCCTAATACATTTTTGTATTAAAATATAAAATAATTATTGTATTAAATATTTGTATTAAAATATAAAATAATTATTGTATTAAATATTTGTATTAAAATATAAAATAAAATATAAAAATGTTCAACATTTCCTACAAGGTAGTCACATTGTAGAAATGCTGTCTGTAGTGTTGTCCGTAGATCAAATGAGAATCTCAAACAGCCCACTCAGGTCATGAAAGCTTTCATGAGCTGTATTCTGGTAATGGGTCTCTGTATTACTTTGAAATATGCTAAAAGACATAGCCTTTCCAATTCCATTATTACATTTATTCTAAGGCTATTGTAAGGTAACCAACTCTTCCCTAGATCCTTTAGTGGTTTCCATTTAAAACCTCAGGTGACAAGTTCCCTTCAAATTAAATGCTAGGAAAAACTTTGCTCTTGCTAGAAAATTTGTTATATTTTTCCCCCTTAAGGACAAGGATCAGGGGCTGGGGATGTGGCTCAAGCGGTAGCGCGCTCGCCTGGCATGTGTGCGGCCCGGGTTCGATCCTCAGCACCACATACAAAACAAAGATGTTGTGTCCGCCAAAAACTAAAAAATAAATAATAAAATTCTCTCTCTCTCTCTCTCTCTTTAAAAAAAAAAAAAAAAGGACAAGGATCAGTGTTTCTCAGCAGGGTGTTATGGCATTTGGGGCAGCACAGTTCTTTGCATATGGGATTGCTCTGCACCCACCACCCACCCTACCCAGGACAGCTATTAGTATCTCTGGCCTGCTGACACGATTGCCAGGTGGGGCATGTAGTCACCATGACCACCCAAACTGCCCACACACATTTCCAACTGAGTAATCACTAAAGAGCCAATTTGCTTCCTTTGTTTTGTCTATAAGAAAACTTAAATTTGTCATGTTAATAAAATATCTGGGTAGAATATTCTGGCCATATCGGTATCTCAACTTTCTCTGAGGTTTGAACTTTCAGTTTAGTTTATATTTTCTCTGGTGTTGAATTTCACTTTATATTCTGTTTTTATTGTTAAGACAATTCAAATCCTTTGTTGAACCAGATGTGGTACAAATAAAAGAAGAGAGCTTGAAGTTTCAGAGGGATATTCTCCTGCAACACCAAAAAACCAAATAACCCAATCAATAAATGGACTAAGGAACTGAAGAGACACATCACAGAAGAAATACAATCAATCAACAAATATATGAAAAATGTTCAACATTTCTAGCAATTAAGAGAAATGCAAATCAATACTACTCTAAGATTTCATCTCACTCCAATCAGAATGGCAATTATCAAGAATACAAGCAACAATAATGTTGGTGAGGATGTGGGGGAAAAATATATACTCATAGGTTGCTGGTGGGATTGCAAATTTGTGCAACCATTCTGAAAAGCAGTATGGCGATTCCTCAGAAAACTTGAAATGGAACCAATATTTGACCCAGCTATCCCACTCCTTGGTTTATACCCAAAGGACTTAAAATCAGCATACTATAGTAATGATGCCACATCAATGTTTATGGCAGCTCAACTCACAACATCTGAGCTATGAAACCAACCTAGGTGCCCTTCAACAGATGAATGGATAAAGAAAATGTGGTATATATATACACAATGGAATATTACTCAGTTTGAAAGAAGAATGAAACAATGGCATTTGCAGTTAAATGGATGGAGCTGATGCTAAGCGAAATAAGCCAATCCCAAAAAAACCAAAGGCCTAATGTTTTCCCTGATATGAAGATGCTAATTCACAACAAGGGGGTGGCTAGGGAAGAATGGAGGTACTTTGGATTAGGCAGAGGGGAGTGAATGGAGGGGAGGCGGTATGGGGGCAGGAAGAAGGATAGTAGAATGAATCAGACATTATTACCCTATGTACACATATGATAACATGACTGGTATGATTCTATATCATGTGCAACCAGAAGAATGAGAAGTTATACTTTTATGTATGATGTGTCAAAATGTATTCTACTGTCATGTATAACTAATTAGAACAAAAAAAGTAATACTAAGTTAAAATATCACTGTTATATATAGTATGTACTCTTTACTCTCACTCATAAAGTAATAGTAGAACTTCACTTTAGACACTTAACTGTCAGAAATTAATAAGGAATAATACACCAAAGAAACATAATATTTTAAAAACCTTTGGTAAAAGTGACTATGAATAAACAAAAAATACCACATTTACATAATTATTTATTTCCATACAATGGCAATGCCAAGTGGAAAGAGCCTGTAGAAAGTATTTATTACTTTTAACATTATAAAAATCCTTTTGCTAAAAACAAATTCTACATGAAGTTACCTTTTTATGAGTGTCTTCATTTTACATGAAAAATTTTTGAGGAAATCTAATCATATACTTTTTTTTTTTTTTTTTTTGGTGGTGGTGCTGGGGATTGAACCTTGGGCCTTGTGCATATGAGGCAAGCACTCTAACCACTGAGCTACATCCCCAGCCTCTATCATACACTCTTTCCAAATGAACACAGACAGTTGGTTCTGATTTAACTGCATAATCCCCTCAGACTCTTGAATTTTTGGAAGATAGGAACTTTTTTTATTTTGAGAAAAACTATTAAGCAACTCAATATTATTAGGCATTTTTAGGTTAAGATTTATCATTTAATCCAAAACATTTTCAGTGACTATAGTTCCCCAAATGGTATTTTGTTTTTTATACTTACTTGTATGTTACTTAGAGTTTTAGCAGAACTTTTGAGGAAGTGGTAGAAGATCCTATTGAGAATTTCTGTGAAAAATGAGATAAAAACTAATTTATAATACAGGGTAAGTGATATACCCCATATTTTTCTTACCTCAGAACTGCAAATAGCTATGTTAGCAGGAAGCTGGGAAAACTGCTTCAACTCAAACACGTCACGTGCTGCCCACCGGCTCATATGATTCTCAGCTTTGCTGGATCCTATCACATGCTGGTTTGAGTGAATATAAGCCACTTCCTGAACACCACCTAGGAGATAATTGATGTTCACTAGGTGATTTATCATCACAAAGGAAAATTGATCCATGCACACCTTAAAAATTATCAGAATCATGACAAAAATAGGTTATGCTTTGCTGAATTTTTACTCCTGAAGAAAAAACATGCAATTATGTTAACCCTGAAATATTCTTAAAAAAACAAAACAAACAAAAACCCCCGAAGAGTTTGAGTTCAAACGTGTTGGTCTAGATTATCATGAAAATAACCCCCACCCCCAGTTCCTTACCATAAATATGAGAACTGCTGAGACCAGGTAAGAATTTTAAAATTTAGACCTGAAAAGGGGATTTTAGGCACAAGAAAGTCATAGTCAAAGGTTTTTGCTATGAATTTGTCATCTTGGTTAGTTTCAAAAAGTTGTTTAGTAATTGAAGGAGTGGCGCTAGCCTTATCTGTTCCTTTAAACATGTACTTGATTACAGTGATGGAATGGGAGCATGGGGTTTATGACCAGGGAGTTTCGTTTGGTTGGCTTTGCTCAGTTTTATTGTTTGTATTTTGTCTTTTTTGTACATATGCCCAGAGAATGTCAAGATGGGAGCTTTTTAGGAAATGAAAAAAGTTAACTCATGGCTTTTATCTGAAAGAGGTTTAAAAAATGGCTACATTTTTTATTGCTTTGCTTCTAGGCACCTATAATTTATTTTTAAATTGTGGTCATAAAAGAGAAGGCTAGAACTGAGGCCTGTAAAAGCTCCCTCAAACAGCTCTGGCAATGAACCTCAATTATGACCTCCAACACTTGTGCTGTTTCAGCCCTGAACCCCTCTTAACCAGAAACTGCCAATCATGCAACACAAGATGCTGTTACAAATTATGATTGAAAGAGTATTAGGAAAACATTTCCCTTAAATTTAAATACCCCAGGTAGCAAGTATGGTAGTTTCAAAATTATTCTTCTGATAGAAAATTTACTCGGATTTTTCTTTTTTTTTTTTTAGTTTTGATGGACACAATACCTTCATTTTATTTATCTTTATTTGGTTCTGAGGCTTGAACCCCGTGCCTCACATGTGCTACGTAAGCACTCTACCACTGAGCCACAACTCCAGCCCCAGATTTTTCTTAATTTTGATGACAAACTTTATGCATTAATGAAAACGAGGTTTGTTACACACTAACTACTGACAACTTTCACAGTTAAAAAAAAAGCAACTATTAAAAAAAAAAACTTCTGTTACACACAAACCTAAGCATAATCCAGTACTTAGTTACAAAATATATATCATAAGGATCCTTCAATGAGACCATTAACCATAAAAGAAAGCTTAATGGGTTAAAAAAACAAAAAAACAAGGTTTCTACAGCAAAATATTCCTGCTTTTAAATCAGCTCCTTTTACTTTTTTTGTTGTATTTATTAAGTAAGATGCTTGTAAAAGTGATGCTAACTCTTAAAATCACTAAACAGATTTTGGGCAGAGGCTAGTGGCAAGGATGTAATTTTTCAACCTCTGATTTCCCTCATGAAAACAGACAACACTAAAAGAAAAACCAAGCCATGTTCTTGAACAACATCCTAACAAAATTAGATGACAAGATATCCCTATAAGCCCTAAAATACAAGCAGGTAGAAACAACCAAAGCTATGAGTTCTGCATAGCATCAAAGACTGAAGAAGGATGCAAGCAACAGGTGGATCTGGCAGACCTAAGAACAGGTGACCCAGGATTGCCAACAGGTACTTCTTGGAAAGCACAGCCAGTCAACTTGAGGTTGGCAGCTGAGTCTGAGAAGGTATTCCACTGGCCAGAGTTGAGCAGGTTCCACGGGCTTGCAGTAAAAAGACCCCAGGGGACTGGAGGCACTATCCTCCTGAAGCCGTAGTACTGACCCACCATGGCCCTGCCCAGGCCAGAACAGAAGAGGAGAAACTGAAGGCAGGGACTCGAGATGAGCAGGACAGGCATTAAGCAGGAGAGGCAATTTCATATAAAAAAGGAGCAAGAGAAAAACATCGGAGTCAAGTTTCAAAAATTATTAAGAGAAAGAGAATAGACAATAATATTTCTACTATGAAAACATCTCAGAAACATCTCACTACACAGATTAAAACCATAATCAGCTTCAAAATGAGGTAAGAGACTTTAAAAACATGAAAGTGACATTTATCAACAACACAAATCAGAATTATACCTCAGAAATGAGTGAACTCAAGAAAGACTTACATATTTTTAAATATTATTTCAGAGATGAAGAATAAACTTAGAAGGAATATAAGAGGAAATAAATATAATAGATAATGTCTTTATATAAATAGAATTTTTTAAAGGAAAAAGCCGAAATAAACAAAGCAAAAAGATAAAAGAGACTGAAACAAATTCTGAAGGTAGGCAAAGAAGATTGAACAAGTGAATAACAGGAGGCCTTAAAGAAGGCCAAAGCAAACCAACAGGACAAAGCACAAGTAACACTAGAACAAGAAAGCTTTCCATAAAAATTGAGTGGAAGCTACACTGTGCATGTGAGAATAGTGACCCAAATAACCAACACCAAGACACAATCTAGTAAAATTACTGGACCATGAAAAGAAAACAAACAGGCAAACAAACCAACAAAAACCACCCAAATTCCGGGCATCTAGGGAGCAGAAAAAGAGGTAGGAAAGAAAAAATACAAGCGACACAACATTTTTACACCAGAAGATGAAGTACATATTTAAAACACTCAAGAAAACAGGGTTTTTTTTTTACATTCAGCAAAACTGACTCTTAGGTATAAGGACTCACACTGTTATCACAAGAATCTCAGGCAAAAATATTATCATGAACACTTATTAGAAAGCAAGCCTCAGATAACTCAATAAGTATAGAAACACATAGGACTGATGGGGAAATCTTAACTGTCTTCTTTACAGTTTTAACTATAAACCAGGACATGAAGTAGAAGGAGAGTATATAATGCAATCTCAATATTCTGAAATGGGAAGAAAGTGGTACATAATATATATAAATATATATAATATATATTTTATATAATATATATTTATAAAACGCTAGGACAAATATATATGTTATATATAAAATATATATTATATATAAAATATATAACACCACTACATACAACTATAATAATATACCACTAAAAATGTGGGAAAAAAGGGAGAAGATTCCTATATCTTGAAAAAAAAAACAACAAGAAAGAAATGGGAGAGCATACAAGTACTGCAATTTTATTCTTTGACTGATGTGTAGTATGGGATAAAACAAATGAGCATTTATGAGACATTATAATTAAATTATTCCCTGTATGTTTCCAAACCAGAATTATCAGTATGGAAGAAACAGTATTCAAATAAAATAAAGAGGATAAGCTGAAGCTCCATACTCTCAAGTGAAGTATCATATAAAGTTCATGAGGTATTTTATCATTATTGAACATGGGTATGTATGTATATACACACATAAAATATATACATATATACACACATATAAAGATATAAGTAAATATGTGTATGTAGACATATTAAGGTATGTGTGTAAACACAATACATACAACTAATTTGATCATTGAAAAGACCCAGAAATAATAAATAAGCTAGTAGTAACAACAATCATTCCTAGCATCTGACTGTGGTCTTGAAACACACTTTCTCTATAAAAGAAATTCAGGTTTTTGGAGAAATAACTGATTCTAGGTTTGGGGCAGAAAATGTACAAATGATCTTGGAGCACCTTGTAATAATAGGTAACAAGGAAGTTTTCAAAGATGATTATCCTAGTGCCTGAGATCTCAGGAACTAAAATACTCGTGTCAAATGTTCCAACTGGCCAAAGAAGGGATAACAGAGCCTTAACCATGATATTAATTGCAATAAATTGAGACCATTAACTGTGCTTGAAAATTTACAATGATGTTATGAAAAGAAAAGATTGGGTGCAGTGGGGCACGCCATAATCCCAACAGCTTGGGAGGCTGGGGCAAAAGGATCTCAGGTTTAAAGCCAACCTTAGCAACTCAGCAAAGCCTTAAGCAACTTAGTGAGACCCTGTCTCAAAATAAAATACAAAATAGTCTGGGGATGTGGCTCAGTGGTTAAGTGCCTCTGGGTTCAATCCTTGGTACAAAAAAAAAAAATAGATTGTCTTAATTGATATAGAACCAATTTATTATATTGAACATTGGCAAATAAAGGAATTAAGCATTTTTCCTGCCTTTCCTATACAAATTCTACCATTAGGTAAGCATTAGTAGATAAGGGACAGTATATCTTTAAAAAAGTATTCTAAAAAAAATGGAAATTAGAAGAGCAGAAAATATCATTTTACTATGCTGAATAAATAAACAGATACAGAAATTAAGCATTAAAGGTCGCTAATAACAGAGACAGAGAGAAAAGCAACATTCTATGCCTCCTATCTTCCTGCCAAACATTTAACTCTTGTCTTGCTGAAGGCAATGAACCTAGGCTTGACATAGTCTTGGGAGCCAACTGCTCATTTGCAGAGGACCAAGCCCAAGTGCACTGAGTATGTACATTCAACAAAATGAAGATGGAGGAAAACTTGACAGATGGCCCAGGTTCTGCAACAGATAATTTGTAGGAATTACTAAATTTGTAAATAATTACTATTAAAGTCAGAATAATTGATGTTTATGGAGCAGAAAGGCTGTGATTAGGATGGGGCACATAGAGGGGGTCCTGAGGTAGATGGCAAAGCTCTCTGTTTCCAGGTAGGTGGTCTTCCCTTAATCCTGCCACCCACCTGCTTCCTTATTTGTGTCTCAGTGTAGCATCCTGTTTTTTAGAGCTACTTTTAATTCAATAACCTCTTACAGAACTGTTTGATTGAGCAAAACAATTATTTAAAGAAAAAAAAAACTCAAAATGTGTCTGAAGTTACCTAAAAGTTTATCCATTGATTCATACATCTGCTCTTGATTGGCAACTTTCTCATTTGAAAATTTCATTGGTTTTCTTGGTATAAAAGTGTTAATTTTTTTATGGTGCCTAGGCAATTGTGCAGAGAAACTGATTTTGTCTTTTATAGTTTTTGCTGTATGGCTCTGTTTAGAGCCACTGAAGTGGCTGACAGATATACTGTCATCTGATGATGAAAAGTCATCAATAATTTGAGAGTTACTACCCTCATCTGTTGCACACAATTGGTTTGTTTTCTTCATTGTTTTAGGAAAATTGTAAAGTTGTCTTTTGTTTTCCTTTTTCCTCTTAAGCCTCAATCGACTAGTAGATCTTTGTTTTCTTACCCTCATCTTGGGGTACATTTCAATGTCATCAGATTCGTCACTAATATCACCAGTGTCTTGGCTTTTCATAATAGGTTTCAGGGTCCTGTTCTCAGGATTTAAATTTTTTGAAATGAGTCCATGTCTTCTGTCATTAGTCTCTTCACCATCACCATTGTTTCTTATTTTTACAGGGTTTTCTGTTTCAGAATCTTCAGATTCATCTAAGAGTTGCTTACTCCTTACTCGATTGTTAGGGAATCGTGGAGTTGCATATTGTGTGGGAAAGATGACATCACTATCTTCTGATTCTGTGCCATTCTGTATATTGCAATGACGTCCCACCAGATGTGAAGAGTTTTTTTCAACATCAGACTCAGAAGAAGCATTCTGTTCTAATAGTTTCTCACTTTTATCAAAAACACGTTTCTCATTTGAATTTAGGATTTTATCTAATGTCTGGTGTTCTGAAGTACCAACAGTGTCCTGAGTTTTCTGACAACCAGCATCTTTGGCTTCTGCTGGAAGGCAAATGGGCTGCTCATCAGAACTTTCACCACCAGACGCAGTATTTCCCTTGCCATCTTTAACTGCTGTACACTTTGCCTCCAACAGTTTAGAGAAGCCACACTGGAGTAAGGTCAGCTGCCCTGAAGAACCTGCAGCTTTGCTTGCGTCAGATGCTTTGCCGTTAGAAGTCTTTATTCTTGAGGCTCTCACTGACTCGTCATCACTAAAGTCACTGCAGAGATCACAGGCGTCCACTGCCAGTGGGTCTGCAGGTGGGTCTTGTCCTCTGGGTTCTTGACAATCAGGCTCCCTGGGCTATAGATAAAATGACAACATAATGATACACAAGCTATTGCACTGGAAGAGAATTAAGTTTGCCAGATAATTTCGGTGTAAGTACGCAACTTGGCATTTTAAAAAAGTGTAACATTTAATAAACAAATGTAAAGGATTTAATATTATGGTCTAGTACAGTCTTTTCTCTTTCCAAGTATTAAACTTTCCAAAATAAATAAAAGTTTAAACTAGAGTATCATGTGATCAAATCATTTTTAAGGAAAACAGAGTGGTGTGCTCAGCTTCTAACATACAGGGACTCACAATTCTAGCCTCAAAAGGTAAAAGCACATAACTCATTGTTTAAAAATTACTGGGGTTTACTGAGGTCCAGCAGATTCTTCCAATCATGCTTTAAGAAAAAAAACCTTACAGATAAAGAATTCACAACTGCAAAATGGTTCAAGTTGTTAAAATAAGATAATAAATAAGGTCCAGTAAGATCATTAAAATTGAGAAAGTTTTAGAGTAAAATCTACAACAAATTTAAATCCAATATTTAATTTTTTCTACTTTAATCAGAATTAGTCAGACATCTCAGTCTCCTAAAACTGAGAAGTAAGTGATTTGGGGAAAGTATTATCCAGTGATACTTCTGCTAATATTTGATATTCATATATGTATGTATGTATTTGGTACTGGGGATTGAACTCAGGGACACTTGACCACTGAGCTACATCCCTAGCCCTTTTTTGTATTAGAGACAGGGTCTCACTGAGTTGCTCAGCACCTCACTTTTGCTGAGGCTGACTTGTGATCCTCCTGCCTCAGCCTCCCAAGCCATATGCCCAGCTTCACAGGTCTTTAAATTTAAAAAAATATTCACCCTAATTTACTGGGAGAGAATTAACTTTGGGCAGATAACTTTTGTTCAGGTAGATTACTGGGCTGATAAAAACTCATGGTTAAACCTGTAAAAACAAACAAGAATAAATTAGCAACAATGACATAAAACTTTTCCCTTTTCACATATAATTTTTACCTCTCAAAAAGCCTTTTGATGAAAATACAGATTTTTGTGTTATGTGAGATAAGATACTACTAATAAGATCACAAGATCAAGGACTCAAATCAAATCAAATATGTTCTGATTTAAAGAATGATTTTGATATTTGGATTTAATAATCAAACACACATTGATGGCTATTTTTCCATTTAATATGCTATTCAGTAAAAATTATTTATTTGGATTGGGTTGGTCACTTACACAGTACATTTAATTTTGGATTTAACTTAGTTTAGTTAAAATTCCAGTTTAGATGTATATGTCTGATGATGGCTCCTGAATTTGTTAACTTTAAGACACAATATCAAATCAGCTTAAATTATAAATTTAACTGGCAGTTCTCTGACTTAATGTCCTTAATATTAAAAATAAAACAAAACCAAAAAAACTGTGTTTTTTAATGTGATGAAAAAATGGAAGAAAAAGGAAATGAAATTTAAAATTGTCACAGTACATGTTTTCTAGGTGTAGGGGGCTACAGACTCAACACTGCCTACCGTTTCTGGGTTGTGTGCTGGAGGTCTCTCTTTCAACCATGTTGTGGCAGTCATGATTCCTGCTTCCACTTGGCCTTCTCTCTGGAATATCAGCAAAAAAGAAAGTAAATAGCTGTGTAAAATAAGGGGTAAAAACAACCAAATAAACAATAGCAATGACAAGTTAAATCTTCAAGCTAGGGCAGGAAAAAATGCAACTTGCTTTAGCACTCTTAATGCTACTTTCAATTTACTAATTAAAGAACCAATATTCAGTGTAATGTAACATTTTAAAATACTCTAGCAGTTTACTTTTTCAGAAGCAGAAAACTAATAATACTTCACAGTGAATGCCATTAAAAGTATTATTAGTCGGGAGGAGGGGAAAAAAAAGTTACCCAAGAATCATAACTGTAATAGCCATTCCTACATAATAATTATAGTAAGGAACATACTGGCAACATGTCAAACACCACAGTGTCGAGCACTGGGAACATGATACAACTAGTATATTATATTTACTGGTCATATTTATTAAAAAATATTTATTAGCATTTACGTGTATGAGACATCAAAATGAAAAGGTCATCCTAATATGAAACTAAAAAACTACCTTAATTATATAACAGGCTTTTTGGAAAGTATTTGCACTTTAAAGCATTTGGTATATTTCCCTGTGCCCCCTCCTACATTTGGGACTTAACCCGGGGCCTTGAGCATGCTAGGCAAGCACTCTACCACTGAGCTACATTCCCAATCCATTGGTGCATCATTTAACAGAGGTATCTAATGGTCTAGATTCCAGAATATTAAATTCCCCTTCTAAAGGAAAATAATTCTTTCTATGTTGGAATAATTTTCAGTTTACAGCTTGCTAGCAGCTATAAGCTAGCAGCTATGAGCAGCTCGAAGTGCTTGAAGAATCTACACTCGTTCAGGCCTGATAGCAACACCTGCAGGATGGGATGCTCTGTTCTAGTGAGCCATTAGTGAAATCACATCCTTAGCACTTGTGGTTAGCGTTGCCAAGCTGCCAGGCCAGGAAACCCATAGTCAGGAGCTTCAGGCATGAACTCCTAACGTAGAAAGCCCCCTCCCCTAGGGACAAAGACCCTTCCTGATGATAGTAATAATTAGAGCATTCTCATAGTGTGGTTACATTAGGCATAAGATGATTGGCTTACGGATACTATCTTGCTTGTGTATGATTGATGGGCATGCCCACTCAAACCCTATAACAATTGTATGCATTTCAAAAATAAACTGAGCTACTGGATGATGACTTGAGGCTTGTCTGCTCCCAGTTTTCTCACCAACTCCCGGAGTCTACTCCCCGTGACTGAGGTAGCTGAGCAATTAACTGACCACATCAGTGACCAGAACGACAGCATTTCTAAGGTTGTATTTGTTGATAGAATAAAGGGAAGTAATACTACCATCACCAGAGTTACCAATGCCCAGCTTATAAATAGACAGCATACTAATGGCATATTCCAGCCACCTGGTATCCAGGGAAATGAGTGAGAATCTCCCTACAGAAATCTACTGGGTGATGAACAGTGCCAGATTGTCAGGAATCCTTAGCCCCCCACACCTTGAGGCTACTGTAGCAAGAGGAGGGGAGCCCCCTTCACAGCACAACCATTTATCTCAACAGAAGCTAACAGGCTGTAGGAGATGCAACTGCAGCATGAGAAACCCTCAGACTGTTGACACTCCTTTCTGATACAGAAATGGCAATTCCAGTGTTCAGACCAGATGCTTGGAGCCACCCTAAACTTCTCTTTTTATTCCTCACATATGTAAGCAAATTCTCTCAGCCCACCTACATAAAATATAGAATCCAACCACTTCTTACGCCATCTACCACTATCACCCTGGCCTAAGCCTCCATGGTTTCTCAGGAGGATTACTGCAGCATCCGCCTAACAGGTGTCTTGCTTTTGCCTCCTGTAGTCTAATGCTAGTAGACTTTCACAGTGAAGCTGATGTAAATCAGACTATGTCATTCTTCAGTTGAGAACTGTGGGAGACCAACCTTGCATGTGACTGAGTCACATTTCCCGGATGGGTGCTGAGGCGCTCAGTCACAGAATGTGGCAGAGCTGTCCCCACCCCTCTTGGGTCCGAGGGTTGGTGTCTCGTGCATGGGTGTGTCTTGCTACAGCCCCATGGGTGAAGCTATGCTCACCTGTTCCTTTGTTTAGGATAGAATCTTCCATGGAAGTGCCTTGTGTGTGTCCCCTTCTCTTACTGTGTCCTTGGGTGTGTCCTACCCAGGTGTCAGTCAACCTGCTGACAGTGGACATCATAAAGATAGACTCAGCCCCCTGAAACCTGACCCCCTGCCTCATTTGAATAGCTTCTCCTCAATAAAAGGGGTCAGTGCATGCTCTCGCTGTCTCTCTTCCTGCGGACCCTTAAGGTCAGAGAAGCCGTCAAAGCGACCCCAAAGAAAAAGGTATTTGTGTCTCTTGTGTAGTTATTTTGCACAGCCCAGTCAGCCCAGTTCAACTGGAGTAAACCCTGAGCCTTTTAGCCTTTTACCAGCAGAGAACTCTCCATTGCTTCTGTTTTTCTGGTCTCACTGCTGGGCTTGGCTCTCTCCTTTACTCCTCAACAGCCTTGGTCGCCCAGCCATTGGAAACCATGCTGGACATACTCCTCCCACAGGGACTCTGCATTTGTTCTCTTGCTCTAAGACCCACATTCCTCCCTCACTTCTTTGGAGATGCAAATGCAACCTTCACAATGAGGGCATCCTTAGCCATCCCAGTCTAAAATTGTGATGCTCTTTCCTTGAAGGTCCCTATTTCCTTTCCCTGCTCTATTTTTATACTTAGAACTTATCATCATATACTGTATCTTTCACTGACTTACTTTGATTATTGTTTGTTTCTGCCAATAGAATGTAAACTTCTTATAGAAAGAAGTTTTTAATCTATTCATTTATGTATGTCTAGCTCTAGGAACAGATAGTCAATAAGTATCTGTGAAATGAACTCTCAATATCTGTCTCGAAAGGAAAACCATGAAGAGGAAGGTCAATACAAAATAGAATTAAATTGCCCAGAAAACCTAAGATTAAAAGTGCAATATAATTCAAATTTTTACATCTTAAAATATTTCAAAAGGCCCCCATAATGCAGGCCTTGGAATAATAAAATATCTTTTGGCCAAAAGCACCATGAATCTAACCAGGTCAGAATAATTTAAATTCTGGTTGGTGACAAATAAGTAATCTTAATTCCAAACTTAATTTAATAATCAAATACCAGTGATATGCCAAGTTGTTAAAGACACTTTACCACAAATGAAATGAATTTAATGACAGGATGGCCCTGTCATTAAAAAAAAGAACTTCTGAAGAAAAAACAAGATGCACGCTGGACAACCAGAGAACAAGAGAACTTTCCACTTAATAACTTCCTATTTTGTTTTACATACTACTTGTTTAACAAAGGAATAGATGGTGATTCTGACAGGATAAATAATCAAATGCTATTTTTACAGGCAATGATTTTAAATTATAAACATGAATATAGGCATACTGGGTAGTTCTCTGAGATGAAGGGACTATCTAGGGGTAGAGTGGAAAGATGGAGGACAAATAAAAGAAATGGGAATGAAGAAGTCCATGAAAGAAATGGCATATTCAAAAACAAGGGAAAAAAGAAAGAAAAAGAAAAGGGTGGGGGGAGAAAGAAAAATAACTTTAAATGGGCCATTCAATTCAAAATCAGATAGTTATTGTAAAACAAAAACTCAGCAATAAACATCAAACACTGTTTAATAGTTGCAATATTTGCAGGATACAATTAATAGATAACTTCTTTTTTTATCCACAGTGGATCTTTTTTTTGGAGGGGGGGAGGTGTCTTGGGGATTGAACTCAGTGCTCTACTAGTGAGCTACATCCCCAATCCTTTTTGCTTTTTATTTTGAGACAGGGTCTATGTTCCCCAGGTTGGCCTTGAACTCAATAATCTTCCTGCCTCAGACTTCTGTGTCTCTGGGATTACAGGTGTGTACAATGGTCCCAGGTCCACCAGTGATCCTTTTGAACTACCACTGAACTTGCTCAATGTATAGTGACTTATATTATTTATTCATTATGTAAACAATCTCTTCCACCTTTCATCAAGATAGTCAAAGTACCTCAAGGACAAGAACCAATTTTTCCTTAAACTTTATGGTACTGACTAAATGAATACATTAAGATTTTACTACAAACTCCTGAGATTCAACTTCCTCATCGATGTAGTAAGGAGATTAAAAAAGAAGACTCAGAAAGACTTTATGATACCCATATTAACATTAATTAGAAAATAGACTAATATCCTTAGTACTCCAGCATATTAAAAAACTTAGTTTTTAAGTAGGTATCTCATTTGAAGAATAAGAAACATCTGTATGCAGAGGATGAACATAACTGGGAGAGTTTGAAATATTGGTGTGGAATTTTTATTGGGAACAGAAAACAAAAATCTCCATGAGACAAGAGAGTATATCTCAAGGAGTATGTGGTAACTTCTAATCAAAACATATTTTATAGTTCTGTTTATTCGGGATTTTATTTTATTTTATTAGTTCTTGTCTCGTAAGCAGCTGCTTTCAAAATAACAAACATCTCTCTGCCTGTCTGAAATGGCCTTTGGAATCACACTATCTCAAACATATATTTGTATGTGTGTGTGTGTGTGTGTGTGTGTATGTGCATTATTTACAACTATGCATGAGAAAATCTTTGTCTAGAGGTATAGCAGTTTATTTCCTACTTCTCTAAAAGTAGAAATTCTAAACATCGGTATTTTTGATAAGGAAAAACCAAAAGTTTCTCTGAAAATGCACCAATTGTATTTCAAGTTTCCTGTGGGATAAAACTGTAATTAAAATATTATTGAAAGGGTCAAAGAATAATTTCACACCTCCAAGATGTCCCTCGTAAGACAAGATCCTTGGGGTCTTAGTCTGAAGAGATTATAGGTCCCAAAAAGTTCTCCTCGATGCTCTTTTGATCCTTGAACTGCTTCAAAATATCGCTTGGCATTTTCACTTCCAACTACCACACAGTGAAGTTGCTAGAACAACAACAAGAACAATAACAACAAAAAATGCAAGATGTTTTTGAAGTATTTGCTCCAACAATATGTCAGAACTTCCTGGCATTCTATATATATATATATATATATACAGCATTAGCTAGAGCAGGTGGAATCTTGGAATCTCCTTAGGGAGGGAATTTTTTTTCAATTTCCCTGGCAGATGTTGCCATTTTGGTGAGAGAATAATAATTGGCCAGTCTGATTGAAGCAGAGATCTTACATTTCCTCTTTTATCTGTTTTCTAAGAAGTGAGTCAAAATCACATATTTATGTAATATATCCACCTGACATGAATGTTTAATAAAAACATACACTTTAATATATTTTTACTTTTTAAATTCATTTCAAACAGAGACTATTAAAACTGAGAGAAGTAATCACTGTGTCACTAAAATTAAATTATAATCCAAAGTAATACAATAACCATTTGTGTCCAACTGATTGTATCATGATTACATTGTCAACTAACAGCCAAACCTCTATCACTGTTGCAGAAAACAATGTCGAATACAGAAAGAACACTGACATAGGGTCCTTAAGGACATTTACCATTTTAGGATCAATATTCATGTGCACTATATGCTGGATATTTTACTAAATGTTATGTAAATATGTAAACTTAAAATACAACCTGATTAATCCCATGTATACCTTAAAAGTATCTTGGAAGAAACAAATTAAAAAATGTACAGAATGGAAATTAACTTCAGTTTAGGGATGGAGGAATTAGTAAGAAGTGATGCTTAACTTTCATTATTGTCGGAGCTGATCTGCACTGTCATGTTATTCTAGACAACTAAAATTCTTGTAAGACCCACCATTTATTGAACACTTCCTACGTCTACAGCATTTTATTTTACATTCTCTCATATATAACCTCTATAACTTCATAAGATATTATCTCCATTTTAGAAGTAACAAATGTAGAATTTCTCTATTTTATAAATAAAGCAACTTAAGTTTAGAGAAATTGATTTGCCTAGGGGTGTCAGCAAGGTGTCATTGCTAGAATTTGTACATGGGTTTAGCTGAATTGAAAATTGATACTCTCAACAATTTCTACATAGAGGATTGCTCTTTTAAACAAGGCCTTATGATTTTAGTTTAAAAAGTTATAAATCAACATGTCAACTTGATCAGTTCAGTAACAATGGCCCAGAAATGGGAGCTACAATCCTCGGAATACAGATTCACAGTAGCAATTGATAAGACTAATGACCAGCTGTCTCTTTTACCCTTGCTGCTGACTCTACCTTTAACCCTGACATTGTTGGACTGTAGGTCTACAAACTACAATTACTAAGAGAAGCTGCAAGCCCTGAGTCTTTGTAATTTTCCTAGCAAAGGTTTAGTCACAAAATTTATTAAAAGTACATTATTTTACATTTAAACTTTAAGTTTTCCAAAGTGGCTTCAGTACAAGTAAAAATCAGGTTTTTCCTTCAGTAGGCTAACCATAAAAATATCATTGTAGAATTCAAGAGGGTAAGGGAAAAAAACCACAACTGGAAAATGTAGCTTAGATTCTAGCATAAGAAAAATTCACATAAGGTCATAAAATGCTTGGATTTCATCATGACCACAGACAAGATATGCAAGAAAAAAGTTAAAACGATGTGCTCATGTTAAGAAGTTCAAGGACCCTTCTTTCATTTTCAAAGCCAGCAGCTTTGCTGTATCATCTGTGTCATCTGGTCCCCTGCTTCTGCCTTCACATCTCCCTCTCTGCTATCTCTGACCCTACTGTCTCCTCGTGATTACACTGGGACCACCCCCAAATCCACAGGGATCAGGAGATTAGGAAGTGGACATCTTTGGGGGACCATTATCAGCCTATCACAGTAAATGTATGCAAAAAGAATGACAGGGAAATGTCAAATGACACAGAAGCTTCTTTCAACGAATTCCCATTGGCTAGACACAAGATGATTTGAAGATCAAAGTAAATAGCAAAATTCAATGGGTTGAAAATTGTTACTAAAATAGAAACCCATGAATCTACACAGATTAAATAAATATATAGAAGGGGAAACTTTTTTTAATGGCAGAATGCCAAAGAACAAAACTGAAAGAATAATGGAAATAGAGAAATCACACCTGGCTTACATCATAGTGGCAGCTGACTCGGGCAGAAATGAACACAAAGGCTGATGAACACATAGATGGGATATTGGTGTGATTCTGGAGACCTCCCCATGAACTACTTATTAATTAAAATGGTAACAGTGATCACTGTGCAGTGGAGAAACCCACAGGTCACCACGCTGTGCCTTCTGACTGATGTGATGAGAAGGCACGGCATCCTGTCTGTGGCATTCCTGCCAAGATTCCTGGCTTGAGTCTGGACAAGAAGAAGCTAATGGATCCAGCTAGCTCAAGGGACATCCCACACAAGGAAAGGCTTCCTGTCTGAAACTGTCGTCATGAAAGGCAAGAAAACACCTGAGTAAAAATGTAACTGTGATCCTGGATTGCATCATAAACCAGAAAGGAAAAAGGGAACATCTGGGGAGAGCTGGGAAAACTAAACAGGTCCTAAGGGTTACAAAGTAATGATGCAACAATGTCAGTGATCTGGGTGACTGAAATGAAGAGGGGTGAGTTGTACAAAAATATGTAAAACTGTTCTTAATGCATAAAGCCATTTTTATATGTTCTTCTAATAGGAGAGTGACTTGCTTTTGAGGAAATATACACTGGAGATAAAGTCTGTGACTTTCTCTCAGGTAGGTCAGAAAAAGATAAAAGATAAGATTTAAGAGAAAGAGAAAGCAAATATGTAAAATATTACCAACTGGGGGATTACGGTGAAGTTTGGGGGTTCTTTGTGCTGTTTCTGCAAATACATTTTTAATAACGAGATGAATTTCTGAATGGCAAATTTAGAAAGCATATAATGCTTCAAACCTGAAGAAGTACAGTTGCTATATAAGTGATGTTTTCATTTTTAAAAAAGTATAAAATATCTGAATGCATTATCACAACCAGATGCACAACAACAACAACAACAAAGACATCAAAGTCAAAGTCCTTCTTGAACAACACAGATCCCCTTACTAGAGTCCTAATGCCAGGTGTAACTCTCTAGATCTCTTTCAATGTAGTTACAGCTATTTCTATAACCATATTAAAATAGTATAATGCATAGATACTATTGATACCTGCATATATTGTCCTGCAAGTTGCTTTTTTGACCTACATAACAATGTCTCAGAGATGCTGTCACATCATTGCATATGACTTGACATCTTACAGTCTTTTTTTTCTTTTTTTCCTTCTTCTTCTTCTGTTGCAGAGTCGTCTGTGATTTGGGTCTACTAGAATTTTTTTTTAATATTTTATTTTTTAGTTGTAGTTGGACACAACACCTTTATTTCACTTGTTTATTTTTATGTGGTGCTGAGGATCGAACCCAGGGTCTCGCACGTGTGAGGCAAGTGCTCTACTGCTGGGCCACAACCCAGCCCCTGGGTCTACTAAAATTTTTGTTATCATTCCTTTATTGTTGGACACTCAAGCTGTTTCCTTTTTTATTCTTAAACAAACACTAACAGTGCTGAATATGAATCCTTGTCACCATTTCTGAGCATTTTTGTCAGGTTAGCCTCTAAAATAAGTGTAATGAGTTGTATTCTCAGCAACAGTATGTGAGTATTCCAACAGCATCAGCACTCTGTCCAGCAACCCTCAAAACAAAACCATAATTTAAAAATGTAGAATGTTTAGGACATGATAATATTTTATTTTGCTTCTTTAGGTGTGTGGTTAGTGTTCCACATGAGCATTATAACTACTTGTATTTTTTCTTCAGAGAAATGCCTACTTATAGTCATTTTATGGGTTTTGGAAAATTTTTTTAAAAAATATTCTTTTAGTTGTAGATGGACGTAATACCTTTATTTATTTATTTTTATGTGGTGCTGAGGATTGAACCCAGTGCCTCACACACGAGATGAGTGTTCTATTACTGAGCCACAATCCCAGCCCCTTGAAATTTTAATATTTTGTAGATGCTGTTCGAACTTTACATATGACAAAATTCCATCCTCGTCTCTCTTCTCATTTGGTTTTCAGTTCCTGTGCCATACAGAAATTTCATACAAACATGTAGTCAACCTTACAAGATTTGCCTTAGAGACTGTGTTAGTTTCTTAGTGCACTGGCTGTCATAAAGTGCTATAAACTGAGAGCTAAGAACAACAGAAATTTATTCTCTCTCAGTTCTGGAGGCTTGAAGTTGGAAATCAAGATGTCTGGGCCTCTTGGAAGGTTCTGGGTATTGGTCCTTCCTTGCAGCCACACGGCTCCTGTTTCTGCCTCCCTTGTCTGTGAGATTAGTATCCAATTCCTCTCTTGGAGGCTTTGTGAAAGATGCTGTGTTTGTGTTCCTGGGAGGCAGTGGTCTGTAATTTTCTGTTCCTGCAATGCCTTTGTCTAGTTTTGATGTCAGAAGTCTTCTTTCTAAAATAAGTCGAAAGCATTCCCTCCTCTGTTTTCACAAAGAATATTAGATGTTTCAAAGAATCCAGCCCTCTAGTCATCTGGACTAGGATCTTTCTTCGTGGGAAAGTTCCAAATTAAAAATTCAATTTCTTTGCACGATATAAAGCTATCATTTTCCCTCACTTGAATTATTGCCTCTAAGTAGCCAGTACCGCTAATAAGAATTTAGTTCTCTATTTAATTCTAGTGTTTATAATACTAGAATTAAATAGAGAACTAATGATTTTTTTTTCCTCCATATAAGTTTGCCTCTGGAAATTTTAAGAATTTTTCAATTTCTCTTTGAGTGTTTCATGCTTACAGAGAGACGGTGTAAATGCAAATCCATGTCCATTCATTCTATTTAGAACTTGCTGGGCCCACAGAATCCAGATTCTCGTTTTCCACTTTTTCATGTTTCTTACCTTTTTTAAAAATTATATTTTTAGATATAGGTAGACAAACACAATATCTTTATTTTTATGTGGTGCTGAGGACGGAACCCAGTGCCTCAGTCATGCAAGGCAAGAGCTCTACCACGGAGTCCCAGCCCCAGTCCCAGTCCTAGCCCCAGTCCCTTTTTAGGGTTTCCTGTCTTTCCCTCTCTTCTCCTCTTAACTCTAAGACTGATGTTCAACTTCTGGATCTAGTCGTTGCATCTCCTCACTTTTGTTACCTATGCTCTATCTTTGTCTCTTTGCTGTATAGTCTAGAAGTACTATTTAGCTTTTAGTTTTAGATGGACAATCCGCCTGCTGCTCTGCGTTATAGGTCTGGAGTTTTTCATTTTCTGAATCTCTCTAGTGGATTCTTTTTCTGGTATCCTATTCTTGTTTCTGGGACCCTATAACCTCACTTACCCTTTGGAGATATTATTTATATTTCTCTCAAAGTCTCTTCTTCTATTAATTCTGTTTTCTCTGTTTATTTCCCCTCCCTTCCCCCTCCCCTCTTCTTTTTCTTCTTCCTACCTGTATTAGTTTCTTATGGCTCCTGCTACAAATGATCATAAACTCAATGCCCTTAAACAATAGAAACTTATTCTTTCACGATTCTGAGGCCAGAGGTCTGAAGTCAAGACCCCTGAGCAGAAGCGAGAGTGCTGACAGAGCTGTGCTCCAGCGGGGCTCCAGGTACATATCGTGCCTCTTCCAGCCTCTGCAGGCTGCCACATTCCTCAGGTGGAGGCTGCATCTCTCTAGTGCCTGCCTCTGGTTACACTGCCTTCTCCCTCCTGCCTGTGTTCCGTTTTACTCTTCTTTCTTATAAGGACAGTTTTGCATAATCCAGGATAATCTCCCCATCTCAAAATCCTTAAATTGATCACTTATGCAAAGATCCTTTTCTTCCGATAAAGGGCCCAGGATCAGGACTTGTGCGCGTGTCTGTGCACGCGCACTTTCGTTCCTGCATGCGTGCATGCATGTATGTATGCATGCCAGGAATTGAACTGAAGAGGTGCTTAACCACTGAACCATATCCCTAAGCCTTTTAATGTTTTTTTGTTTGGTTGGTTGGTTGTTTGTTTTAAATTTTGAGACAGGTTCTTGCTAAGTTGCTTAGGGCCTCAATAAATTGCTGAAGCTGGCTTTGAACTTGTGATCCTCCTATCTCAGTCTCCAGCCTCCTAAACTGCTGGGATTATAGGTGTGCGCCACCATACCTACCTAGGACCTGGTATTTTTGAGGGCTATTATTCAGTTCACTACAGTGCCTTTCTCATGGTGCTTATTTTCCTAAATTGTTCAGTAATTATTTTTGGCTGGCTGCTCATCTGCCTTTAATACCTTACTGCTTATCTCAGCCCCCTGCCATAGTTACTTGAGCAGGGCAGGACAGTGCATGTTTGCTTCTTCTTTCAGCCTGCTCTCTACTGCCTTCTGTCTTTAAGCATTCCTTACAATTTATGGGCCCCTGGGAAAACTCTTTTTGCTTTCCGACATACTTATATTCATTTACTTATTTCGGGATTTTTTCCTAAAAGATTTGAAGAACATTTGAGAGGCTACAGTGTGCTCCGTATATCCCTTCCTTCAAACTCCAAACCACCTTTAAAACCTATTTACATTTACGAGATAGTCATCTTTGTATCATACAAGTTCTGAAAAATTACCTTGTCTCTTGAAAACTTTTTATTATATATCATTACATGGCATATATTATGTAATAGGCCATTAAATGAGTCCAGATGAATAAGTAAAAAGGAAATATATAAAATAATGGGTTGAGAAAGATTACCAGATTGACAAGACACTCTCACTGTGACAATATTCTACAGAATAGCTCCTAATTTGAAAAATACCTTACTTTTTCATAATTGTTTAGAAAAAAATAATTTTCAGTAGTTGTGTTATACTGAAGAACAAAAAGATAAACTACTTACAGAGCTAAATGGCTTAAGAAAAAACAAAAACTGCTGTGTACAATTCCATTTATAGAATGAAGAAAACAGCATAAATATAAGATTGGATCATTTTTAGGCTAACTACCACCACATGTGGCAGATGTTTGCTCTTAAATAGATGCCAACTGAACATATAGGGAGCAATTCAAGTTTAATATTTACAATTAAACTTGAACCTCATTCCGGATCTTCTCAAGTGAACAGTTATAAATGAAATAAATATTGTTTAGTTAGAGGTAGAAATGAAGCAGTAAGTGATATCCTGAGCACAATGAAGAGTTAATGCAATTTTAGATAAACACTAAAAGCAATATAGTACAGTAGCTAGTGTGCTTGAGTTCTAGTACTATAATTTCAGTTTCATTCACTATGGTGTGTCTAAAGCAGTGCTCCCCAATCTTCAAGTCACGGCACATACAGAAAAGGGCAACGTGAGCACCTACCTGGCACACACAGAGGAGGTTACTCGAGGCTAGAAGCTTACTTAGGTGCCCTTGCTACCCAGACAATGATGGAATCAACATCTCAGTGTGCTTGTGATCCATCTGTGGTATGCTCTACGTCTTGGCCCAGTTTGGGGAGCTGTGACCTCGATAATCAAATTGTGCTCTGGGGACTAGTAGTATGGGCACTCCTGGGAACTAGTTAAAAATGCATAATCTTGAGCTCTACCCCAGACTTACTAAATCAGAATTTGTATTTTAACAAGATCCCTAGCTGATTCATAAGGACATTAAAGTTTAAGAAGTACTGCTCTAAGAAACTTTCAGTACTAAAATTTAATGAACCCAAGAATGATTCTGTTTCACAGAAGTGTAACCAAGAGCATATTTCATAATCTTATTAAATTCCATATTTTAGAGTAAAATTTAAGGTTATTATAGTAATTTGCTCATAATTTTTGAAAACAGAAAAATGTTTGCTTCTTAATTAGAAGTGGGGAAATATATTTACCTGTTTGTATACCTGTCGTAGATACATGATCTCTTCCACAGTTCCCAAGGATATCAGCCTAAGCACTTTAACATCTCTGCACTGTCCAATCCTGTATGCTCTGTAAGATTAAAAACAAAACCAAAAAAATCACATGAAGCAACTTTGGATTCAAGAGATTGTTTTGGATATAAAAATGGAGCTTTATTAAAATTTTAATTAATTAAAATAAATATTTTTGTTTAGGTATGTTATATTATTCAGTAATAATGCAAAAACATAAATTCATACAAAAGTCTTACTATTAAGGAGAAAGTATGGTAGGAAAATATACATATCAACTTCATTTTTGTTATATATACCACTGTCTAGTGTCTAAGAACTTCACAAATTCAATATTTTCTTTTATGGCAATTTTTATGAATGGATTGTTCTCAAATAATTTCATTTCTATAAAACTCCTCAAAATGTAAACTAATCCAGAGTGATAGAAAGCTAATTACTGGTTACCTGGGGACAAGGGGATAGGGAGGGACAGAAGGGATTAATTCCAAAAGGATACAAGGGAAATTCTGAGTGTGATGGATGTGTTTATTATCTTGATTGTGGTCGTGGTTCATAGGTGCAGATGCATCAAAACTTACCAATTATATATGTTCAATAAGTCCAGTTTATTGTATGTCAAGTATGCCTTAGTAAAACTATTTAAAAGCAAAAACCATACAAAATAAAATATACCTTGGGGAAAAGCAGTGAAGGAGCTAAAAAGTAGGCAAGTGGAGATCTGGAGACCACATCCACAGAGGTATCGGTTCAGAGAAGATTCAGCCCTCTGTTGACTGGTACCCCAGGTATTCAGATATGGACCACAGTACACTAATTCAGCTCTAACCTGGCTGACCATGGTGGTTAAAACTGTGGTCTGTTCCCTGAAGTGCTTCATAGCAGGCTTTTTCAAATGTTCTGAATGAAGTCACCTGTTCCCAAATCCCTTTTATAATTGCTGAGGGAAACAGGAGCAAGTCCCTACTGCCTATGTGCTTGAAAATGTTACTTTTGGGGGGAAACTAATTTTTCAACTTGTAAGGTCACTGTATCTATTGTTATATTTGATGTTCCCTCTGTCTCCTTCACACAGGGAGAAGATATGAGAAGATACTAGACAGTATCTTGGGTCCTGCAAATCTCATGTCCCCAGAAGGGAACGAAGGTTCTTGCCTACTCACAGCTGGGGGAAGCTGCCTCAACATGCACAACTATTAATTCCGGTAACCGGACCAGTCAGTGAGGGGATGAGGAAAAGACAGTCACACAAATTGAGATGAAGCTGAGTCTTAGTGATTCACTAAACCTTGATAGGGAAATAGTGACCATGAACCAGCTCAGCATGTTGATCCTATAGGTTTTATCATTAAAAGGGTTGTTGTGAGGTAATTTCTTCAAAGCAAGCCAAACCAATGTCATAAGTATGAACACCTTGATTATGATTACCAGCTTGTGCCCATAACTTTGTACCCCTAAGCAGCTGTCTGAACCTCAAGGTAAAGAACTTATAAGCTCATTAAGAACAGAGCTTCATCACAGTACTGAGCGGTCGCCATGGGTGCCTTGGAGCCGAGAGTTTCCAGGAGAGGCATGGCCTCTGTCACAGGAAAGCTCAAGACCCTGATTCAGTCATTGCTCCTGCTGCTGGGGACAAGGTCTCTCCCATCCTGCAGCCTGGAGAAGAGAAGAGGCTCATAATCCTTCCCACCCTCCCCACAATGTATGTGAGCTCCAAAGAAATCAGAAGGGGATCTAAGATGTCTCTTGGATATGTGCTTAGCCAGCTGTTGCTTAATGAGACAGATTCTCTTGGAATGCATGTCCTTTGATCTTTTGTACAGACAAAACTTTTATGCCTGTTACTTTGTACCTATGCTTCATCAATTTCTTGGCCCACAAAACAAGAATTTGTAAGTGATGGGTCTTTTCCATGTAGAAACAAGTATTGAGGAACAATTATACAATATTTAGGTCAACATCTTCATTTCTCTTCTTGGTTCTTCCTGCCAGAGAGTCAACAGAAGGAAAGGGAAGGGAAGAGGAATTCACTGTGCTTTGAGGAAATAATGATTTAGATAAGATAATAATCTTAATGATCTAGATGAAAAAGTACAAAAATACAATAAATGTCCTAAGAACAAAAGAACAAAGGAGATTTCTCTGTGGTTTTCACATGACCATTTCCTTGACAGATGTCAGTGGAGAGAGAATGATTCACAGCGTCAGCTCTCTGGCCAAGCTGCATGGATTCCGATCCTGACCCTAACACTTATTGAAAAATGCTTTTGTCTTGCATTGTATTAACATTTTGTTTGAGAGTAATATTGAATTTCCTATCATATGTTCAAGTAGTTACTATTTGGAAGTCTGACACCTAATTCTCAGTGTTTCTCAAAGTAGAGCTGAAGACCAATTGTATCATAACTACCTTAAGTATTCTTTTTTAAAATAATGGTAAAGGATACATAAGATTTACCATTTTAACTATTTTTTTAGCATACAGTCCAGTAGTATTACATAAATTCACACTGTTTTATGACCACCATTATCCATCTCTACAAGTTTTCTGTCCTCCCAAACTAAAACTCTATACTTATTATACAGTAACTCTCCATTCATCCCTTCGTAAATTTTAATTTCCATCACTATGAATCTGACCACTCCAGGACCTTATACAGGTGAAATCAAAAAACACTGGTCCTTATTTGTTTGGCTTTCACTTAGCATAATGTTTTCAAGGTTTGTTCATGTTCTAGAATGTATCAGAATTTCATTCCTTTACAAAGCTAATAATATTCCATGATATATACACACCACACTTTGTTTATCTATTCAAAGTGGATTTTGTTTATCCATTCATTTGGGTTGCCTCCATGTTTTAGTTACTATAAACACAGGTGCTATACAAATATCTGTCCAACTCTCTCATTTCAATTCTTTTGGATATGTATCCAGAAAAGAGGTAGTAATGCTAGAGCAGATGGTGACATGTGATTAGTATTTAGGAACCACCACCATACTATTTCCCACAGTGGCTGCCAACACTTTGCATTTCCACCAGTTGCACAAGGGTTCTGACTTCTCCACATTCCCACCAAGACTTGTTGTTACTGTTATTTTTATGAATCTTTTTCAGAGAAATGTCCCTTCAAGTCCTTCACCCATTTTTTATTTGGTTGTTTTATTGTTCTTGTTTAAGACCTGCTTACATATTCTAAATATTAATATTTATCAGATATGCAGTTTTTCCCCATTCTCTGGTTATCTTTTCACTCTGCTGATAATGTCCTTTGATCTATAACCCTGAGTGATTTTTAAAATGTAAACTTGTAGAGTCTTCTTCTAAACCTACAGAATCAGAATACCTAGAGGATGGGGACTAGTCATCTATTTTAGAAAATGTACCAGGTGCCTACTATGACTCATAGTTTTAGTTGTTGCCCCTAAAAAAAATTTTTTGAAATATTTTTTGGCATATATTTTGAGAATTGATTAGGATACTCTGATCTTTCCCCAAGAGGGTAAAAAATTGAACACAATTTTACTCCTTCCCACCACAATCCTCATGTTTTATTGAAATTACATGGAGTTTTAGTTCTAAGTTGTTACTAATATATTTTTGTTTTTTATACCATCCTTTTATGTTCTGGGGAATTCCTTTTTATAATGGTACTAAGCCTCTCAGCCATGCTATCAATAATTTTAGACTTAACCATAATTATCAGAACTTTCTTTGACTATCATATTTTTATATATTTTGGGTTCTCTGTATATAAGTTCATATTTCATTGGCTGCATTAAGCAACATTTTTGGACCATGAGCAATAAATTTTCTGAGTTCCTTGATGTCCAAAGTTGGTTTTTATTTTGTCCTTACATATTGATATGTTGGCCACTGATTGTAACTAAGAGTCAAAATGATTTTCTTTTGAGAGCAAGTCTAGTCAAAAAATGATTTTTTCTTTCACATATAGTAAATTTAAATTCATCACTTTTACAACTCTATTTTCATCTAGGATCCTATAATGCAGAGGAAAAGTCTGTTCTTCAAAGCCTGATCTGCAGAAATGAGATTGATTATCATTTATTTGTTAAACTGATTTTTTTTCTTTTTTCTTTGATTTTTATAATTCAGTCTCTCCACCCCCTTACACACACACACATACACACACAAACACACACATATACACACACCACACATACACATATACACACTGGAATATTTTAATCCTTCTCTTTACCCCTGGGACCTAGACATATGCCCAAGATACATATTCTCTCTCTCTTAGATATTATCCCTTTTAGTGTGCTGTGGCCCTTCAAAATCAACAAACTTATTCATTATGTTGTCAGTTATCTCTTCTGACCTCCAGTCTCTTTGTTCTTTATTTCTGATACAGGCAGATGATGGTTTCTGGAATTTTCCCTCAACTTCTGTTTACTCATATTTTATATCTATTTGTTTCTTGACTTTATGTCTTAAAATATCCATTCCTTTTATATTCCAATATTAATTTCCACCATTAGCCCTCTTTATTTCTGAGTCTTTTCATTTTGGCAATAATTTTATTTTCTAAGAACATTTTTTTCCTATATGCTTCCCCCCACCCCAGTGTTCTATTCTTATTTTAGTCCCTTTGTGTCTGTTTTTTCCATTGGCTCTTTTCTTTCATGAAGCTAGTTTTATGAAGATGCCTCATAATTCCTAATTTCCTACTCATAATTAAAATGAGAAACTAGGGATTGTATTAGGAAGGTGGTCTACCCTGCATAAAACTCAACTCAAAGTGGATCAAGGACCTAGGCTTTAGATCAGAGACCCTGGGCCTATGAGAAGAAAATGTAGGCTCACCTCTCCATCATGTCGGCTTAGGAACCAACTTCCTCAACAAGACTTTGAATGCACAAGTAGTAAAGACAAGAATCAATCAATGGGATGGTATCAAACTAAAAAGCTTCTTCACAGCAAAGAAAAGAGTCAAAAACATGAAGAGACCACCCTACAGAATGGGAAAGAATTTTGCCATTTGCACCTCAGATAGAGCATTAATCTCCAGGATATATAAAGAACTCAAAAGACTTAACACCAAAAAAACCAAATAGACAACCCAATCAATAAATTGGCAAATGAAGTGAACAGGCACTTAACAGAAGAAAAAAAATGTTCAACATCTGCAATTAGAAAAAGCAAATTAAAACTACACTGAGATTCTATCTCACTCCAGTCAGAATGGCAATTATCAAAAATAGAAGCAACAATAAATGTTGGCGAGGATGTGGGTGAAAGGGTTCACTCATACATCGCTGGTGGGACTACAAATTGATGCAACCACTCTGGAAAGTAGTATGGAAATTTCTCAAAAAACTTGGAATGGAACCACCACTTAACCCAGTTATCCCACTCCCTGGTATATAGCCAAAAAACCTTAAAATCAGCACACTACAGTGATACAGCCACATCAGTGTTTATAGCAGTTCAATTCACAATAGCTAAGCTATGGAACCAACCTAGGTGCCCTTCAGCAAATAAATGGATAAAGAAAATGTGATATATATATATATTTACACACACACACACACACACACACAATGTAGTATTATTCATCTACAATGAAGAAGAAATTATGGCATTTGCTAGTAAATGGATGAAACTGGAGATCATTATGCCAAGTGAAATAAACCGGTCCATAAAACCAAAGGCCAAATGTTCTCTCTGCTATGTGGATACTGACAAACAATAATGGGGTGGGGTGGGGGTGCAGGATAGGAGTTTATTGGATTAGACAAAGGGGAATAAGGGAAGGTGGGGGATGGGAATAGGAAAGACAGTAGAATGAATCAGAGAGAACTTTCCTATGTTCATATATGAATACACAACCAGTGAAAATCCACATCACGTACAACCGTAAGAACTGGATCATAATTAGAATTAGCTATATTTTATATATATATATATATATCAAAATATACTCTACTGTCATGTATATCTTAAAAAAACAAATTGAAAAACAAGAGAAATGTGATGGAGATTTCCATGCAGGTAACTGCTTTATTGAACTACTTCCCCTTTTAGTGTACTTTGGAGAGACCTGGGATCACTTCAGGCTTGGCTCTACTTCATGATCTGGCTCATTCTAGGAACCTTTCTACAATCAGATCCTCTGCTTATTTATGAGATTATTCTTTCAGAAATAATGAAGGAGGACTTGCTATAGACAACCCTTCTGTAAATATGAAAGGACAATTTGTTTCAGATTCAGCATATTCATTAGTTAACTCCCCAGAAGGACAGACTGTGGTCTACTCCCACATCCTCCAGGTACCAATCCCAGCTTGAGACTTCAAGGTCTTTCCTGCAGACTCTGGACTGGTTTTTCTCTCTTCATTATTTTTGGGGGGCAGTGTGTGTGGTGGGGGCATGTACCTAGGATTAAACTCAGGGGCACTCAACCACTGAGCTGCATCCCTAGCCCTATTTTGTATTTTATTTAGAGACAGGGTCTCACTGAGTTGCTTAGTGCCTCACTAAGTTGCTGAGGCTGGCTTTGAACTCGGGATCCTCCTGCCTCAGTCTCCTGAGCCGCTGGGATTACAGGCATGCAACACCGCACCTGGCTTCTCTTTATTTCTTGATTACGCAGATTCTATTTGCTTTCTATCTTCCAGGAGTTTCTCAAAATTTCTGATCTACAAGTAGTGAAATGTCTTATTTTCCTTTAGTTTAACAGGTTTATTCTTTCTTCTTAAGTCATTTCTGTCATATTAGTAGGATTTTGTGATGGATGGCAAATAAATGGCTATTTATTTGAAATTATTTCAATTAAATAATTCAGGGTTACTTTAAACAGAAGTTCTTACAAAATTCCCTCTCTCTTCTAATCAGTCCTTTCATAAGAAATCTTAAAGTTTAGGAGTATTTTTAAATTAAAGGAATCTGCAAGTCATTTCAATTTTGCCATTATTATACCTGTCAATAGCTTGAAGATCATTGGCTGGATTCCAAGTTGGATCAAATAATATAACAACATTGGCACCAACAAAATTGAGGCCGAGTCCACCAGCCCTGGAAGAAACAGAGTAGAAAGCATTAAAACAACACAAACTAACTGTTGTGCTGTAACTCAATTTTGTCAAGTCTCTACAGCCAAAACATTACAAGATTACATTAACATCATAAAAGGAGAGTGATTAAAACACAAATATCCTACAAAGAAAATATCTCTGGCAAATTCTTTTTCTGCCACTTCAAAAAATCTCTGTAAGAATTTATAATTCAAGCCATATAAATACATTGTGCTAGTTATTACAATTTTTGGATACTTGAATATTATTTCTGTAAGATTTTCCTAGCATAATTTTTTTAAAAAAATGGTTAGCATATTTTAACTAAATAAAATAATATATATATTTTAAAATTTAATCCAGGAATAGATGTAAATCTTTTTATTCCTTCCACTAAGCTCAGTTTAAGACTCTGGATATTATATGTTAAAAAAACAAACAAACAAACAAAAAACATACACTGAAAGATGGAGAGAAGACAAACAGGCTAGCATCTACAAGATCAAAGAAATGACATAACAGTGAGTTCCTTGGCTTTCTTTTTGCTTAAGATAACCAAAGACAGATTCTCGAGAAGCTAGTGAACTAGAAATGACAACAGTTATAGAAAGAATGCTAGACAATAACCACCCAGCTCTGGCTAAACACAAAGGAACCATCTGTGGTTCATCCCCCTTTAGTGAGCAAAGGCTATGTGAAGGTGCTATAATCTACCCTTGCCTGGCTATGATGGGGTGAGGTGGTAGGGTGGTGTCAGAGAAGAAAGAGTGATGCTGTGATTTTTCCATTTTTCTACCCAGTGTTAACAGGTTTGCCCTCCAAGGTGTAAGGGAAGGCCATGTGGGAACAGTAATGAACTGTGGGAACAGTTTCTTCAGTGATGAAGAAACCACCTTCGGGTGTCAGCAGAGGCCACATGGAAACCTGAATTTCCAGCCCTACTTGGCTGGCACAATGTCAGAGGAGGTGTATTAATATAGGAAATTTAAATATGATATGAAGTCTCATAATATTCAAAGTGTCCAGCCTATAATAAAAAATTCAGTCACTATACCAACAACCAGGAAAACCTCAGCTTGAATGAAAAAAAGAAATCAACACATGAATCGGATGTTGGAATTATCTGACAAGAGTTTTAATGTAGTCATCATAAGAATGTTTCAATAAGCAATTACAAATATGCTTGAAAAATTTTTTAAAAATAAAGTCCCAGCAACAAGAAAGAGGACATAAAGAAGAACCAAATAGAAATTTTAGAACTGAAATATAAAACTTGCAGGATGGGCTCAATAGTACAATGGAGATGACAAAGAATAGAATCAGTAAAGGTAATGACAATGTCATTTCCCAATAACGGAGAGAAAACAGATGGAAAAGTTAACAAAGCCTTAGAGACCTGAGGGAAAAAGAGCTAACACTCATGTCATGGGAGTATCAGGAAGGGAAGAGAATGAGAATGAAAATACTCAAAGAAATATGGCTGAAAACTTCCTACGTCTGGCAAAAGATACAAACCCATAGATTCGAAAAGCTGAGTGAATCCAAACAGAATAGGCAAAACAATGACCAGAGAAGAAGAACGCATTGCTTTCAGGGGATACCAATGCAATTTACTGGGCATTTCATCAGCAAGGAAGGAGCCAGAGGAAGTGGCAACATTTTGAAACAGCTGAAAGAGAAGAACTTCAACAGCAAATTCTATAACCAGTGAAAATACCCCCAGAAAGGAAAGAGGAATCATGACATTCTCAGATTAAGGAAACCTACAAAAATTTGCCACCAGACTTAACCTAAAGGAATGGCTAAAGGAAATTCTTTAAAAAGAAAGAAAAGAAAACGGAAGGCAGCTTGGAACTTTAGAAAAAGGAATATCAAAATTGGTAAAAAATGGGTGGATATAAAAAACACCCTATTTCTCATGAGTTTCATAAATCACATTTCATGGTTAAAGCGAAATCACAATGCCACCCGATATGCTACTATATGTGATAAAAATAACTATGACAACTATATTTTAAAAGTAGAGTAGCAAAGGTACTTAAATATAAGTAAGGTTTCTACTCTTCAAACTAGTAAACCTTTATACCAGTAGACTATGAGAAGTTATTATGTGTATTGTAAAAGCTATAGCAACTACTAGGAAAAATGTAGAAAGAAATATACTAAGAAGTCTAAATAAATAATCATTTTAAAAGGTTCAAACAAGAGAAACAATAGAACCAGAAATGGGAAATAAATAGTAAAAATTAAAAATACAATATATTAATAATTACCTAAACTACCATGGCCTAAATGTACCATTTCAAAATCCGAGATTAGCCGGGCATAGTGGTGCATTCCTATAATCCCAGCAGCTCAGTAGGCTGAGGCAAGAGGATCACAAGTTCAAAGCCAGCCTCAGCAACTTAGCAAGGTCCTAAGCAACTGAGACCCTATCTCAAAATAAAAAGTAAAAAGAAATGTGGTTCAGTGGTTAAGCACCCTTGAGCTCAATCTCTGGTACCAACAAATTAAAATTAAAAAAAAATAAAAATCAGAGGTTAGCATAGTAGGAGGAAAAAAAAACAAAACAAAAAATCCACCCATGATCCAACAATATGCTGTCTACAATAAATAAATTAAATAAAATTTAAAAATACTAAATGCTTTAAATGCACTGATACAGATTGGCTGAAAGTAAAAACAGGACAAAAGATATACCATGTAAACATTAAGGAACAAAGCAGAAGTCTCAACAAGTTTAAAAGAAAATTTAAAACACAATGAATCATAAATAATAAAGATGGTTCAATAAAAATGAAAATATGGGCCGGGGTTGTGGCTCAGAGGTAGAGCGCTTGCCTAGCATGCGTGAGGCACATTGTTTGATACTCAGCACCACATAAAGTAAAATAAAGATATTGTGTCCACCTATAACTAAAACATTTAATTTAAAAAAATGAAAATACAATATATCTGGAATACAGCTAAAGTAGTTTTTATACCACTACTAGTGAATACCACTAAATAATTACATTAGAAAAGAAATAAAGTCATCAAGTCAATAATCTGAAGGAGCAAAAACACAAAGCTGAAGGAAATAATAACATAAGAGCAGAAATGAATATATCGGAATGTAGGAAAACATTAGAGAAAAAAAATCAATGAAACAAAAAGCTGATTCTTTGTTACATTTCTAGCATGCATGACAAAAGAATACACAAATTACCAATATTAAGCATAAAACAAGAGATACCACTACAGATCCTAAAAGTATAAGTGAGTGCTATGAATAATTTCATGATTATAAATTCTACAACTTAAATGTGGACAGTTTTCTCAAAACCCACAAACTATTAAACACAACTAAATGAAACAAACAACTTGAATGTTGCTATAACAATTTTAAATAGTAAATAAGTATTTATTTTTTTTAAGTTTTTAAATATCCTCTTTATTCAACTTTTTATTCTAATTTGTTATGTATGATAGCAGAATGCATTACAATTCATATTACACATATAGAGCACAATTTTTCATATCTCTGTACACAAAGTAGAGTCACACTATTTGTGTGTATGTAGGGTAATGACGTTTATCTCATTCCACAGTCTTTCCTACCCCCTTGCCACCTCTCTTCCCCTCCCTCCTTTTTGCTCTATCTAGAGTTCATCTAATCCACCCATGCTCCCCCAGCCCCCGCCAACCCCATTATGAATCAGCATCCTTATAGCAGAGAAAACATTCTGCATTTCATATTTTGGGATTGGCTCTCTTCACTTAGCATTTCATTCTCCAACTCCATCTGTTTACCTGCAAATTCCATGATTTCATTCTCTGATTGCTGAGTAATATTCCATTGTGTATACATACCACATTTTGTAATCCATTCACCAACTGAAGGACATCTAGGTTGATTCCACAGTTTAGCTAAGTAAATAAGTATTTAAAAAGCTCTTACAAAATAAAACTCCAGGCTCAGATGATTCTGCTGGATAAGTGTACCATTTATAGAAGAATTAATACCTGTTTTATACAATATACTCTATAAAATAGAAGAGGAAAGAGCACCTCTCAACTCAATGAATAAGGCTAGTATTATCTAACACCAAAACCATACAAAGTCAGTGCAAAGAAAATAAAAAACACAAATGAACAAAAAAATGGTATACTAATCTCTCTCCTGAACTTAGATGCAAAAATCCTCAACAAAATATTTATAAATAAAATCCAGCAAAATACTAAAATAATTATAACATTGCCTATTGGGATCTATTGTAAGGATGCAAAGCAGACTCAACATTTGAAATCAGTCAATGTAATCTAATACATTAACAGGCTAAAGAAGAAAAATTGTATGATAATATCAATGGATATAGAAAAATTATTTGGTAAAATCCAACAACCATTCTTAATAAAAATTCTCAGAAAATTAAAAATCAAGGAAAATTCCTCGACAAGGGAAAATAAGATACACAGATTGGGAAAAAATAAAACTGACAGAATTTGCAGATGACATAATTGTCTATGCAGAAAATCTCAAGGAATCTAGGAAAAAAATCTGCTAGAACTAATAAATAACTTCAATGTTTCAGGGTATAAGATTAATATTTTAAAGATATATTTCTATATATAGGCTAAAGGTTACTCATCTGAAATGCCTGAGACCAGATGTATTTGAGATTTAGAATTTTTCCAGATTTTGGAATATTTGCATAGAAGTTATCTTGAGGATGAGACCCAACTCTAAAACAAATTCATTTATGTTCATATATACCTCATACAAATAGCCTGAAGGTAATTTTATATATTTTTAATAATTTCATGCATGAAAAAAGTTTGTGTATCATAGCCAAAGGGGCTAGAGAATCTTTTTTCCTATGAGGATGCTGAGTTAACTGTGTCTTACGCACTTGTGTTTTGACTGTGATAAAGTCAGGTGTAGAATTTTCCATTTGTGAGTTCATACTGGTTCCAAAAAAGTTTTTTGGAGCATTTTGGATTTCAGATTTTTGGTTTAGG